TGTGTGTGGTGTAAGGAAATGGTCAATTTCATTCTTCTGCAGTCACAACAGTCTTCTGAGAGGGGTGCTTGGGTCAGTCCCACTTGAGAGAGGCTGTATGATTTGAACATTGCTGTGCAGCGCTGTTTCTCTAAAGACGATTTTAAAGAATTCATTCCATTTGGTTCACCAGAGGATGCCAAATTGCACATAATTGAATTGATCAGGTAAATAAAACATTGAGAAAGATTCATCCATAATTTCGTGGCAAATCTAAACTTGTAAATCCTCTAGGTGTTTTGTCATGAGAGGTATTTGGGATCTGTAGCAGGTTGGGACCTGGTTGGAGTGGAGACAGACAGGGGAGGACTGGTTAGGAGCACTGGGTGACGCATGCAGATCCTGGGAGCAGTGGTGGCGTGGGGAGAGCAGAGAGAGTCTGCCTGCCTGTGCTTCTTCCCTTCCCTTGCCTTGCCACAGCTTGACGAAATGACGATTCGGTTACTGATCCTGAGAACATCCCGGGAGCACTTGCAGCGGGTGGCACCGTGCTGGGACCTAGGGTGAAGACAGGGCTCACAGTGGCACAGACCAGGAGGTCAGTCCTAAGCCCAGCAGCTGTGGGGGAGCAGCACAGCAGCTAGAGGCCGCCCCGCCCGTGGCAGTGGGGCTGTGAGGAGTCTGCCTTGTGGTGCTCCGTGGTTTGTCGGGAGCAGAAGTTGTGGCCTCATAATCAATCACACGACAGTTCATGCCTGTAAATCTAACCCCACGGGAAGCCACACTTTCAATAATAACAAAATTCAGTGCAAGCTCATAGTTAGGGATTCTCAGATTTACAGGCTTCCTGGACTGAAGATTCAAAAACCCTGACACGCAGATTCTGCGGTAATGAGTGAAAACGGTGCGGTTGTTGGCCTTGGACACTGGCAAAGAGCAGGCTCCACAATCTTGATTAACTCTCCTTGCTCTCAACTCCGTAACCTAATTTTACATGAACATTGCACGAACGTTTGTCTCTCCCCCTGGAAACGCCAGGACGGCAAGGGCCGGGTCTGCTTCCTCTCGCTGCTGTGGCCAAGGCGCCCCACACTGTGCTGGGCGTCTGCTGGGCACACAGCATTTGCCTGAATGGAATGAAGACATTTTCCCACAATGGAGCATCACTGAAAAACTTCTAAATTCTCTTAGACGTTAATAATTTATTAACACAGGCTGAAGTCATATATGAAACGCAAATTCTTTTTTTTTTTTTAAGATTTTATTTATTTATTTATTTGACAGAGAGAGAGAGAGAGAGCGAGCGAGCGAGCAAGCGAGAGCACAAGCAGGCAGAGAGGCAGGCAGAGGCAGAGAGAGAAGCAGGCTCCCCACTGAGCAAGGAGCCCGATGCGGGGCTCGATCCCAGGACTCTGAGATCATGACCTGAGCCGAAGGCAGCGGCTTGACCCACTGAGCCACCCAGGCGCCCCTGAAACGCAAATTCTACCACAAAAGTGAACTACAAGTGTAGCCACCATTCAGCCTCCCAATGTCAGTGCCACAGCCCTGCCTATACTCCTCCCATTTCCTCTCCGAATCACACTGTCTCTTGTACAGATTTACTGTGGGACAGTGAAATACAAGCCTCGCTGCCCCTCACTTTACGGTAGTGTCAAGTCTGAGCAGCTCAGCCCAGCGTTCGAGGCTGTTTTCTGGTTTGGCGTGTCTTTCCTCACCTGACTTCCACTCGCTTCTGCCCGCACCCGGCCTTCTGCAGTTCGGCCCCCAGGACCCCTGTGCAGTGTGACCGTAAATAGCCGAGGTCTGTCGTTTGCTTGGCCTGTCGTGTTGAGTCCCCTCCCAGCACCCTGGCCTTGCCTGAGAAGTTCCCGTTTGTTCTCGTGGGCGTCGTTCACACGCGCCTGCTCCCAAGCCACAGTCTTCCCTGCTCCAAACCCAGTCGGAATACCTTTTCTACTCTCCGCTGGCTCGACACCTGGGTGAGTGCTCTCTGATAGCGCTCGTCGTCTGATCGAACCGCTGGTCGTGCGTGTCCGGTTCCCCACCGGATGCCTTTTCAATCACTGCTATTTCTTTGTTTTCTTTCTGTAAGTATTTCAAATGGTACAAAAATGAGAAAAAGTACAGAGAGTTTTCTGTGAAGGTAAATTGCCTTTTCTCTCTTCTGCACTTACCTACTCCCTCCCAGGGGCCGCCCCTGTGCTGTCAGTTTTCATTGCCCTGATGGCGTGGCATAACAAACAGCCATAAATCTCTGGTGGCCCGCAGCAGGCGGTGCTTCTTTCTTTCTTTTTTAAATTTAATTTAATTTAATTCCTTCAGTGTTTAGCACATGAATCTGTGGGGTTCAGCTGACCTGGGCAGGACTTGTGTATCTCCAGTGCCCTGTGGGTCTGCCAGGCAGTTCTGCACACCTCATCCGGGCTTGCTCACGTTCCTGGGGCTGAGCAGAGGGGACACCCCATCTGCCCTGCTGGGGTGATGGGTCCTGTCCCACACGTCTCGTCCATCAGGAAGCAGATGCTTCTTGCAGTTGTGGAGGGCAAAGGGCAAGGCAGCTACTGAGTCACACGAGTACTTCCCAAGCCTTTGCTCGTGTGACATTTGCTGGTGTCACCCTGGCCAAATCCGGTCACGTGCTTGAGCACAGACTCACGGGGGTGGGGGGGTGGTGTACAGGAAAGAGGGAAGGATGGGGGCAGCTGGTGGATGCTGCCATGCGCTTTTCTCCAGATGCTACACACGTAACCTAGACGAGAGCGTGAGTCATTGTTCTGTCCTTCACTTTTCCCCACTTTTTAATTTCCATTAACACGTGATGTTTCATCATCAGGTGTGTCCTCTAAAGAAGAACACATCAGGAAATCTTAAATGAGGTTCCTCTTGACCCCTGGCTGGAGTGAACCTTCTGAATTCACCCTAGAATGGCTTCAGCAGAGGAGCAGGAGGGACTGAAGATTGTGAAGGTGGAGGAAGACGCGATCTGGGACCAGGAAACCTGCCTTCGAGAGAACAGCTTTTCTACCCAGGAGGCCTCCCGCCAACTTTTTAGGCACTTTTGTTACCAAGAGACCCCTGGGCCCCGCGAGGCGCTGAGCCGGCTGCGGGAGCTCTGCCGCCAGTGGCTGCGGCCCGAGACGCACAGCAAGGAGCAGATCGTGGAGCTGCTGGTGCTGGAGCAGTTCCTGACCATCCTGCCCGAGGAGCTGCAGGCCCGGGTGCGGGAGCGCCGCCCAGAGAGCGGGGAGCAGGCGGTGGCTGTGGTCGAAGATCTGGAGCGGGAGCTTAGTGAGCCCGAGAACCAGGTGAGAGGAGGACACGGGCTCCCAGACACTTCCCAGACACGGAACTGGGGGAGGTTTGCGGACGCAGGCGGGTGGCTGCGGCCAGTTCTCGGGTGCCATGGAACCGTCTGCCCCCATCCTGCACGGCTTAAAACCCGCAATCATTGTCTCGTATTAGGAAGTCAGTTAGGGGCTCTCTCCTCAGGTTGCGGTGATGATTTTTTTTTTAACTTGAAGTCTCTCTTTACCAGTCCTGTGGGGGTGGGGTGATCTAATCCACTCTCCTGAGGTGGGGAGGGAAACTGAGGCACAGAGCAGCAGGGCCCTACAGGGAGTCAGGACCCAGACGCTGTGCGGGGGTGCAGCGCTGGGGTAGCAGGGCTCTTTCGGGCTTGCTCGTTTCAGCCTGGGGAGCGGGGGCGGTGCACGGGCTGCCGGGATGGCTCCCCTCCTCCTTGGACGCGGGCAGGGGCCGCAGCGCTCACCGGCTGTCGGCAGGGGGCTTTGTTCTCTGCCATGTGCGTGTGCGCTTAGGGCTCACTGAGTGTCCTCGCGTCTGCCGGCTTCCCCGAGAGAGACGGAGAGGGAGGATGAGGAGGGAGCCCTGGCGCTCCGTAGGACTTGGTCTCTGAAGTTGTGGACCGTCGCTTCTGCCCCAGGTTCTCCTCTGTAGAAATGAGTCGCTAAGCTGCTTCCTCTCCAGAGGGGAGTCAGGGTCCGCCTTTCTAAAGGAAGGCGCGTCCAGCAACTTAGGACGGCGCTTTCGAGCAGCATCAGCACGCCAGGCCGCCGTCGGCATGTGGGGTCGCCCTCTGGGCCTCTCCCTGTGCCGTTCCTCTAGAGTGTTTCCTGTGGTTGCATGCGATGTCCTTCACTGAGCGTTAGCCGGGGCTCCTGGGTCCCATCTCATGAACGCAAATGTCCCCACCCGCCTTCAGGCCCTGGCTCACGAACATGGCCCTTCTGAGACGCTCTCAGAGGATGTGCTGCATTTGAAGGCCAAGCAGGACTCGGTAGCCATCCAGCTTCAGTCCATGGTGACACAGCTCCAGCGTGAATCTTTGGGTCCCCACAGACTCGGAGAACGAGGTAAGGACGTGGCTGGGTCCCCTCGGGATCTCTGGTGGCTCTGCAGAGGGCACCAGTTACGGCTGTGGACTCTGGGGTCAGATGGCCTGGGCTGGCCCTTAAACACTGCGTCTTAGTAGCTCTGCGACATTGGGCAGGTCAGGTAGCCTCCCTGCACCCTCAGCTTGCGCGTCCATGGGACGGAGAGTCACAGTCCCTGAGTCACGGAGTCGTGTGGACGTGTAAGAAGTTAACACAGGTGAAGCGGGAATGGCGCCTGCTCACACATGTGCTCTCGGGAGCCTCGGCCCCAGCCATGCCCACGGTGCTGCCGGCCTTGCTCTGGCCCCGGTCTCCTCGTGTAGCCCGTCTGTCCTTCCCACCTCCAGTGTTGTGTTCTGGGAACGTGTGTGTGTCTCGGGGCTCCCTGGGCCCTGTCCTGTGGTTGAGCTCTTTTCTGAAGGGGGAGAGATGACGGTGTTCGGCGTGTGCATTCTCCCAGGTTGTGAACCTGTACCTGAGCGCCGGGAGCTGGCATCGACGCAGGAAGTCTTGAAGGAAGTGGAACGCTTTGGAAACCGCAGACTCCCAAGAGATGCCCCCGTAGATTGTAAGTACAGAGAACCTTGTGCACCGCAGAGCAGAGCAGAAAAGCAGAGGGGACAGGCGACTGGAGAGAGACGGCATAGGTGCAGTGAGTGTGGGAAAGGCTTTACTCAGAGCTCAGTCCTCGTCCAGCACCGGAGAACCCACACGGGGGAGAAGCCCTACGAGTGCGAAGAATGCGGGAAGACCTTCAGCCAGAGGTCGGGCCTGATCGAGCACCAGCGGAGCCACACTGGAGAGAAACCCTACAAGTGTAAGGAGTGCGGCAAAGCCTTCAGCGCCAGCAACGGCCTCATCAGACACCGGAGGATCCACACGGGGGAGAAGCCGTACGAGTGCGAGGCGTGCGGGAAGGCCTTCCGCCTGAGCTCGTACCTCGCGCAGCACCAGAGGATCCACACCGGGGAGAAGCGCTACCGCTGCCCTGAGTGCGGGAAGGCCTTCAGCCAGAACGCGGGGCTCTTCCAGCATCTGCGCGTGCACACGGGGGAGAAGCCCTACCCGTGCGGCCAGTGCGGCAAGCGCTTCAGCCGGAGAACGCTGCTCGTCAAGCACCAGAGGAGCCACACCGGCGAGCGGCCGTTCGCCTGCGAGCAGTGCGGGAAGGCCTTCGGCCACCACTGCAACCTTGTTCGGCATTTCAGAACCCACACCGTTGCCAAGCTGGCCTCATTCCGTGCACCCCCAGACCCTTGAGTGGGGCCATCTAGGAAAGGAAGATTTTTGGGCGGCGTATTTTGTTTTTACCAACTTTATTCTGCTCTGGAACGAGGAGCTCGTCTGCAGCCTGGGCTGCGTCTCCGCGGTGACTGTGGGTGTGGCGGTTGCCTGGCAGCCTCGTCCTCCCCGTCCCTAGCTTCATTTCTGAGGATCTTCCTAAAAAGGGACCAAAAATTACCTGGAAATAAATTGGTACGGAGGGGCTGTTCTTGAGTGATACTGAGCACCGTGCAGCTTTGCGGGACTGGTATCTGTGCGTACTCTTCAAAGGCCGGGTGAGTTCAAGGGATATTCAGATGGGAGGCTTTCTCTACCCCCGTAAAAGTTAACTTTTTTTTTTTTTTTTTTAAATTTTATTTATTTGACAGAGACACAGCGAGAGAGGGAACACAGGCAGAGTGAGTGGGAGAGGGAGAAGCAGGCTTCCTGTGGAGGCTCGGGGCTCGATTCCAGGACCTGCGATTATGGCCTGAGCCAAAGGCAGATGCTTAACAGCTGAGCCACCCAGGCGCCCCAAAAGTTAACATTTTCAACACACTGAAGTTCTGGGAGTAAGAATCCTTGCCTTTTGCATGGGGGACCATCGCCAGGGTCTCCCCAAGGACTGTGGTAGATGATCTGTCCGGTGCGTCCATCGGAAGGGGTGGCAGCATGGCCTTACCCGAGCTGGGACACCTCCATCCTGGCGGTTTGGAGAGGCAAGCCCTTGCTATCCAAGTGCAGGTCATTACTGTGCTGAAGGCCTCTGGTTTATTACAGATGATAAGGGGACACTTGAAAACGAGCACACTAAAACACTGCTCAAGGGGCATTTTCGCACTGCAGAGTCGCGCCTCCTTTGTTGAAGGCTGATTAACCACAAACTGGAGGCTTCCTTCCGGGACTCATGTGACCACGTGCTGCGTGTGCGCCAGTCACCGCCGTGCGGAGTGCGGCTGGAGACCCCGGCCTGTGACGCCTCCGAGCCCGCTCGTTCTCCAGGTTGCCTTGGCTGTTCGCAAGCGTCTGCGCCTCCGCGCGAATTTTAGAATTATTTGTTCCAGGTCTGTGAAGAAGACTGTTGGCGTTTTCACAGGGGTTGTGTCACTACTGTTGTGATGAAGATTCTATTTGGGGCGCCTGGGTGGTTTATTGGTTTGAGTGTTTGCCTTTGCCGTGGGTCATGATCCCACGTCCTGGGATAGAGGTTTGCGTGGGGCTCCCAGCTGCAGGGACCCCTCTGCCTTCCTCCCACTCGTTCTCTCAATCCATCTCTCCCTCCAATAAACAAAATCTTTTTTTTTTTTTTTTTTAGTCACTTGAGAGAGAGCTCACGCACACAGTCATACACAGCAGGGTGGGCTGGGGGCCGCAGAGGGAGAGGGAAAATCAGACTCCCCGCTCAGCAGGGAGTAGGACAGAGGGCTCTATCCCAGGACCCTGAGATCATGACCTAAGCTGAAGGCAGACACTTAACCGTTTAACCTACCGAGCCACCCAGGCTCCCCATTGGGGTTGTGTTAGATGGCTAGATTGCGTTGGGTAGTATGGACATTTTAAGGATAATTGTTCTCCCACTCCATGAGCATGGAATGTGTCAAACTGTGTCATCACCAGTTTCTTTCATAGTGTTTTATAGTTTTCACGGTACAAGTCTTTCACCTCCTTGATTAAGTTTGTTCCTGGGTATTTCATTCTATTTGGTGCACCTGTATATGGGACTTTTCTTAATTTCTCTTTCTTTATTATAAGTGCACAGAAATACAGCAGTTTCTGTGTATTGATTGTTTTCTGTGACTTCACTGAGTTTATCAGTTCTCATGGTTTTCTGGTGGCGCCTTAAGAATTTCTCTCTGTAGTGTCATGCCATGTGCAGAGAGTGAGTTTCCTTCCTCCTCAGCAGCGTAGACGCCCTTCTGTTCTGCTTGCTGGGACTGGGGTTTCCAGTACTATGTTGAATAAAGGTGGCGACAGCAGATCCTCCTCTTGTTCCTGACCTAAGGAGAAAAGCTCTGATTTTTTTCAACGTTGAGTGTGATGTTCACTGTCGTTTTTCATATATGGCTTTCATTATGTTGAGGTATTGCCCCTAAACCTTCTTTGTCGAGGGTTTGTATCATGAATGGATGTTGTACTTTGTCATATACTTTTTCTGCATATATTGAAAAGATATGGTTCTCACTTTTTGTCTTGTTGATATGAGGTTTCCTGTTGATTGATTTGCAAATATCAAACCACACTTGCTTCTGAGGGATGAATCCCACTTGATGGGATTGATGCATGCTTTTTAAAGTATGTTCTTTTGTATATATTTCTATATACGGTGTATACAAAGTATATAAAGTGACAGATTTTTTAAAATGTATTTTTGGATTCAGTTTGCTAATATTTTATTAAGGATTTTTGCATCTGTGTTTGTCAGGGATATTGGCCTGTGCTGCTTTTTTTGTGGGGTCTTTATATGGTTTTGGTCTCTGGGTAATGCTGGCCTCATAGAATGAGGAAACCTTCCTTCCTCTTCTTTTTTGGGTGGTGGTGGTGTTTGAGAAGAACAGGCGTTAACTCTTCTCTAAATGGTAGGTGCGCCTGGGAGCTCAGTGGGTTAAGTGTCCAAATCATGATTTCAGCTCAGGTCATGATCTCAGGGTCCTGGGATGGAGCCCCAAGGCAGGCTTTGAGCTCAGTCCATAATCTGCTTGAGATTCTCTCTCCCTCTCCCTCAGCCCCGCCCCGCCCCACCTGCACACTCTCTCTAAAATCAGTAAATCTCTCTAAAAAAAATTTTCTTTTTTGGTAGAATCCACCCATGAAGCCATCTAATCCTGGTTGGTTTGTTTTTGGGGAGTTTTTTAAATCACTGACTCACTTTCATTGCTAGTAATCAGTCTGTTCTATTTTCTATGTCTTCCTAATTCGCCTTTGGAAGGTTATGTTTCTAGAAATTAATGCATTTCTTCTAGGTTGTCCAGTCTGTTGGCATATAATTCTTAATTGTATCCTCTTATAATCCTTTGTATTTCTGTGGTGTTGAGTGTTGGTAATCTTTTTTTCTATCACTTGTTGTGAGTCTCTTGACTGATTTTTATAGATATACTTAATTTTACTGCTCTTTTGTTTCCTCCTTTATTTACTCTTATGGTCTTTCTCTTCCACTAACGGAGTCCCCCTTCACCACTTCTGGTAAGGCTGGTTTAGTAGTGATGAATTCCTTTAACTTTTTTTTTGTCTCAGAAACTTTTTATCTTCTTTTATTCTGAATGATAGCCTTTCTGGATAGAATATTGTGGGATGCAGGGTTTATTTCAGCATTTTGAACATATCTTGTTGCTCCCTTCTGGACTACAGTTCCTGTTGAAAACTCAGTTGATAGCCTTATGGGTTTCTGTTGTATGTAACTTTTCCTTCCATTACTTTTAAAATTTTATCTTTTTTAAAAAATTATTTTTATTAACATAAAATGTATTATTTGCCCCAGGGGTACAGGTCTGTGAATCATCAGGCTTACACATTTCACAGCAGGGGTACAGGTCTGTGAATCATCAGGCTTACACATTTCACAGCACTCACCATAGCACAGACCCTCCCCAGTATCCATCACCCAACCACCTTCTCCCTGACTCCCCTCCCTCCAGCAACCCTCAGTTTGTTTTGTGAGATTAAGAGTCTCTTATGGTTTGTCTCCCTCCTGATCCCATTCTGCCTCTCAAATTTTTCGTATCAGAGAGATCATATGATAATTATCTTTCTCTGATTGACTTATTCCACTTAGTGCAATACCCTCTAGTTCCATTAACATTGTTGCAAATGGCAAGATTTCATTTCTTTTGATGGCTGCATAGTATTCCATTGTATATATATACCACACCTTCTTTATCCATCCGTTGATGGACATCTAGGTTCTTTCTATAGTTTGGCTACTGTGGACATTGCTGCTATAAACATTTGGGTGCATGTGCCCCTTTGGATCACTATGTCTGTATCTTTGGGTTAAAAACCTAGTAATGCGATTGCTGGGTCATAGGGTAGCTCTATTTTACACTTTTTGAGGAACCTCCATGCTGTTTTCCAGAGTGGCTGCACCAGCTTGCATTCCCACCAACAGGGTAGGAGGGTTCCCCTTTCTCTGTATCCTTGGCAAAATCTGTCCTTTCCTGACTTGTTAATTGTAGCCATTCTGACTGGTGTGAGGTGGGATCTCACTGTAGTTTTGGTTTGTATTTCCCTGATGCTGAGTGATGGGGAGCACTTTTTCGTGTGTCTGTTGGCCATCTGGATGTCTTCTTTGCAGAAATGTCTGTTCATGTTTTCTGCCCATTTCTTGATTGGATTCTTTGTTCTTTGGGTGTTGAGTTTGATAAGTTCTATATAGATTTTGGATACTAGCCCTTTAACTGATATGCCATTTGTGAATATCTTCTCCCATTCTGTCAGTTGTCTTTGGTTTTGTTGACTGTTTCCTTTGCTGTGCAAAAATGTTTGATCTTGATAAATTCCCTTCCGGGGTCCAGCCTTGGCATGTCCAGGTGTCCCCAAAGGATGGACCATGTCAGTGAGAGGAATGAGAGAGCCACACAGAGAGTTCTGGTCAGTAGTCAGGCATCTCTATTTTATTCTGATTTTAGAGCTTCTTATGTAGGCAGTTTTCTTGGGGTAGGGGGTTACATTCGTGCAAAGGACATCAAAGGACTCAAGCACAAAGATAATTTCTCTTTGTTCAGCACATGTTATTCTAGTTAAGCTATAATGGGTATAGACTGGCACCAGGGATGGAGGACAGGGTCTTGCTTCTTGAGTAATACAGTCCCTCAGAAAGCCATGGGAGGTAGCACAAATGCGTGCTTTCTGGTAACTTACTCTGGAGTCTGCAGGAAAACAGAACATAAGTTAATGGAAAACGAGAAGATTTAGGGATAAATTAGATAGTAAGGAACTGCAGGAAAACAGGATATGGGTCAATGGAAAACGAGAAGCTTTTGGAGAAACTAAGTATATAAGAGAGAAGTAGGAACGAGAAGGCGTTCCCTTTGCAGGAGGCAGGGTGTATTTTAATGGCTCGGCTTGTGAAAGCCTTGGACAAACATCAACTTAGGGAGGAATCCGTCTATCTCGGCTACATACCTAAAGCTTTCTAGTGTCCTAGGTACAGAATAATTTACCTCCTTGAAGTTGCTCCGGCCCACAAGCCTCAGAGATGTTTGCAGCAGATTAGTAAGGGGCTCTTTATTTGAGAGAGATAGGGGGATCAGAGAAAAAAGCAAGAGACTATCAGACCATGCTTATCTGCGGGGCGATCTGGCCCTTGGCAGGATTAGGCCTACATCAGTTCAAACCTTAACCTACTGGGGCAATGCCCTTGACCAGGCCTCATGGCTCCCAAGAAGTCCCAGTAGTTCATTTTTGCCCTTGCTTCCCTTGTCTTTGGCGATGTTTCTAGGAAGAAGTTGCTGCAGCTGAGGTCGAAGAGGTTGCTGCCTGTGTTCCTAAGAATTTTGATGGATTCCTGTCTCACATTGAGGTCTCTCATCCATTTTGAGTCTATTTTTTTGTGTGGTGTAAGGACATGGTCCAGTTTCATTCTTCTGCACGTGGCTGTCCAATTTTCCCAACACCATTTGTTGAAGAGACTTTTTTTCATTGGACATTCTTCCCTGCTTTGTTGAAGATTAGTTGACCATAGAGTTGAGGGTCCATTTCTGGGCTCTCTGTCCTGTTCCATTGATCTCTGTGTCTGTTTTTGTGCCAATACCATACTGTCTTGATGATCACAGCTTTGTAAAGGAGCTTGAAGTCTGGAATTGTGATGCCACCAACTTTGGCTTTCTTTTTCAATATTCCTCTCGCTATTTGGGGTCTTTTCTGGTTCCATATAAATTTTAGGATTATTTGTTCCATTTCTTTGAAAAAAATTGATGGGATTTTGATAGGGATTGCATTAAATGTATAGCTTGCTTTAGGGAGCATAGACATTTTCACAGTATTTGTTTTTCCAATCCATGAACATGGAACATTTTTCCATTT